GTAACCCTTAACACAATAGGAACGAGTTCATACATCCAATTATCTCCACCAAAAACAGTATACCTCTAGTATGTTTGTAAGATAAATACGGAGTACGAGATGTAAAATTTGTTATGATATATGAATTCTACAAAGATTCAGCATCTTTGTTGCTGTCTATTGAGTAGAATGAAAGTTTTTGCTGAGGAAGAAGCCAATCTTTTCCATCAATATATGATACATCCAAATATGATGCTGCCTCATTTTGGTTAAGTTGCTTACTATAAGAAACCCTATTTGCGTAGCTTGCTCCTGGACCCGTGCATTCATATTCTCCGAAGAAAACAGTCCTGTTACAATCACATAATAATCGTTAGAAAACATCTTCTATTTGATCTCGACACTTCTCACTTTAGTCCCTTGCTATAAGTTCTTAACGCGTGTACATTTACTTCGTGTAAATAGTAAGTGTTGAGATCAATTAGAAACAGAGGAAATATATTGCATTTATCTTTATTTTTTGATGTTTGCATTTATCTTTATTCATTCATTAAAATTAAACTTTACTTCTCTTATCGTATCCTTATTGTATGTTTCCGGAAAAAAGTTTAAAAGAGAGAATTTACGTACGAGTCTCTAGAGGGATCTCTCCAATCATTCCATCCATCAGGAGAAACAACCTCGGACATGTATGTCTTGGAAAACACAACTGTTGAATAGGGTCCCCAAGCTCTACCAAGCCAAATTTTACCACTTCCACCAATGTTGCAATTCACAAAGGAGAATCCTGTGTTTTCATCTTGTGATTGTCTCCCGTGTGCCGTTATTGATCCATCCACCCCTTGTGCATTCCCAGCTATCGAGTTAATTGTGCAATTCTACAATGAAAATACAACCATTTTATTTCAATAACCTTGTCTCATTATTTGTTACCTTGTGAATATATTAACTAAAACCACAAACATATATTCCCTTCGTCTCTAAATATATATATATATATATTTTTTATTTTTTGTGACACTGCTTGACTACTATTAAAGTAAGAACAACATTTAGAAGAGTATGGAGTTTACGATAACCTCGTAGAGTGATCTAGCTTCTCCAAAAATGAAATCAATAGAACCTTGAATGAAGCAATCCTTGAAGTAATGCCTGCCACGATCATCATTAAGTGTGTCTTGAGACCCATAAAATCCACAACCATAAAAGGCAGCTTCATCACTTGATATTTTTAGTGCCACTCCTTGCCCTCCTTCATCTCCTGGAGATGGTTGAGGTGCTGTATTCTTTTCTCAAACACCCAATGTTCGTTATAACAAAGTAAAATATAATTTTCTATTGCATGCAAAACACTATAAATTCTCTCTCCGCTTTAAACTGTTTGCACAATTTGCTTTTTCACGGTCTCCAAATTACAGGTTTGTTTATTCTCTTTATATTCTTGAGTGTTACACTTTGACTGTCACATATTCGTTTTTTCAAAAAAATTATAAGCCTATGTCTGGTATAACCACTGAGTGATGCATGAATTCGTACTCATATAAAGTCCATACCATTTAAAGATATGTGTATAATGCTAATGAAGAGTCCTAGGGGTCATGGAACAAAATAGTGGATACTAATATTATCCACCGTTTTCCTTACCACAACAAATTCTTTGTTTACCTTCTTGTAGGAAATTAGAAATGATAAGAATTTCAAGTTTACACGATATAAAGTGTCTAAATGCATACACCTTAGTGAATTAATAAAACTTATTTATAACTCTTTATCTGACAAGGTTGACTTGTGTCCCTATTTACATTGCTTCTTTATATGGACGGATATTGGGTAAAATGAAGTTTATCATTGGTCATTTGCTCTCAACAAGTCATCATTTTCTTAAGACACGTTTAATTCAGAATTCAAAATTATAAAACTTTGTTAATATAGTTATTAGCTAGGGTTGCTAAATCTCAATATAAGTGCATGCCCAAATTATGTATTTACCTGAAAGCTGATGTTGTAAGCTGTAAATCCAGGACTAAAAATGGTGACTGAGGCACTAGAGGCTGTACCGCCGGTCGATTTCGAAGTGTCATTCCATGAAATTATTGTGTTTTCATAACCTTTACCTTGGATTATCAAGTTGGTTTTGTTAGCATTAATCGTCACCTTCTCCCTGCCATCATACGTAGATATCATGCACGCAATTAACTCATCCAACTCTAAGCTCCAACAAAATAAATAAATAAATATATATATATATATATATATATATATATATATATATATATATATATATATATTATAAACTACTACTTTTGCAATGATTAAATTATTTCTTCTCACACTTTATGTCAAATTGTTGTAATAGAATAAAACGGAGATAGTATTATACTTTGACCTAGGTCATTAGCTACATGGCTCTTAATTAAATTTCATTTATCTATCATTTCAATTTATATTTTTTGTTTTATATGCAACATTTCCATTCCCCACTTATTTAAACTGAACTTAAATTAATTTTACTGAACTGAAATTATTTTTGATAAACTGAAGTTATTTTTACAGATTTTCTATTATAATTCTTCTTTAAGGAATATGAATTTTACTGAACTAGACTAATTTTATTGAACTGAAATTATTTTTAATGAACTGAACTTGTTTTTGCTGAACTTGAATTATTTTTACTTAATATAAGGTGAAGTGAACAGGACCTTACTAATGCATTAATTCAATCATAAATATATATTTTTAATTACTAATAAGTAAATATTACAAAAATTGTATATTATAAAAGCATTAACCGATATAAATCTAATGGGATCTCGCATAACTATGTTTTCCATTAACTATAAATCACTAAATTCAGTCAAAATAGGGTATGTAAATAATGTAAAAGTCAATGTGTTGTAAGTAATAAAAAATAATAAAAACAAAAAAAATGAGGAAATGCCGAGTACATAATTAAGCTTTGGACTAACCTGTATATGCCGGAGTCTACAATGATGAGAGTATAAGAAGAGCTAGAATCTGGCACAGCATCAATTGCTTTTTGTACACTACTAAAATTGCCATAACCATGGAAATCTACCGTTAAAGTAAGAGAAACACGGTATAAAGACGGCAACCTAGACCCCCATTTTGACTCACCACACGACTCGTGTGGCTCTTTCGGGTGGTGGTCGTGTTGGTCATGGTGGTGATGTCTTCTCCAAACACGGTCACCAAATTCCTTAAAAATGCCTAGGAAGTCATCAAAAGTACGCGCTTGTTTAATAACAAGGGGTGAAATAGAGGATGAAGAGTTCATAAAAAGGGTGAATGCAATAGAAAGAAGTGCAATGACAAAGGCTAAGAGCCAAAACCAAGAGATGGTTTTGAGTTTCATGACTAAAGCTCGGCTCGTTTACGGGTTAAAGATGATGAAGTCATGAAGGGAAGTGACTATTTCTTATATAATATGTGATCATGTGATGACTTTGTGAGGAGTAGTGTAGGGTGATTAGCGTAAAAGAAATGAATTCATGCAATAGTGAATTACTATTATTATTTATAATAAATAATGAAATAGTATATAGATTAATAAGACATTTATCTTTTCTTGCTTGAAAGTAAAGAGGGTAGGAAAAAGGGTAATGGGCAGCAAACAAGATTGGAAGATGGATACGCTAAACAACAGAAAGGGAGAATGATGAAAGGTGCTACATGCGTATGGGTGTCATTCTCAGCAAGTACATTTTGACTTCTTCTCAAAATATGGTGGTAATTCAATCTATTTGATTTTGATGGTATTTGAACTAATTATTGGTTTTTATAACATTGTAGTAATTTAGCTTAAAAGGGATATCATAGCACCGGCCAATATGTTTTGACCCAATTCAAATTACTAAAATTAGGACCGGTTTTGTTCACCTTTTTCGGTCTTATAAGTTCAAATAAGATTAAGTAAATTTAGATAAGATAATGAGTTCGAATAAGTAAATAAGGTGAATTGAACATATCATTATTCGATGTTAAATTGATTGGCGTGTAGCCTGATTTTGACATGTTTGAATCGAATTTCAATAATGAAATACTCCGTAACAAATTGTTAAACTTCATTGTGAAATTTCCACCACCTTCCATCATCACCCTAAGCTACTTTTGCCAACTTACTCCATAGCCCTTGATCCCATGCATGTAATACATCACAAGCATCCCCCCCTCCCCCCAACCCACCAACCCCAAACTCCCACTCTCACCCTAACTCACCTATCCATTGAATTGAAGTAACACATTAGCACAAGTAGCAGTGTGGCACCCCTACACACCTAAAATCAATCACCAAAAAGGTAGATGCAATCTCTAGACGTAACTCCATGCATGCGCATAGAGGCCACAGTACAACGGAGTATCTTCGTCGTATGAGCGAATCCCCGCCTCCCTGCTTCACTCCAAATAATGTGTGCTATAAGTAAATGCATTTTTTCTCTACAATTATGACAACTAAGTTCTTGACGTCCTGATTAGTAAGTGGTAATAAACAAAAATAATAGAATTGGATCTTAATGTAAATCTTAACTGGCAATACTTTGAGGGAAAAACTAGCTCATACTTAGAACTTGTTCTAATTTACTAAACTAAAATATCTGAACTGATTAGAGTTAAACTGAATATTTTATAAGAGAAGGAAATTAGGAAATGAACTGAACTGATTGGAGCTGAACAGAACTGGAAATAAGCAACAGAACAGACCCTTAGTACTTATATTTACAACCTACGCTAGCTTACTTAAATTATCAACAGTATAAGAAATTTGTACCCACCAATTTATGTTTCTTTTTTTATTGTCTGATTACAAATGAAATCAATTTTCCCAAAAATTTATAAAGAAAAATTTAGTCGTCATACTTGTTTGATGCATTACAACGTATAATTTTCAAGCACTAATTTTTTTGTATTTTATGTAAAACATACAAATACGTGAATACAGACATACAGTTATGTTTTAAAGTACTACGTATAAAAGTAGAACAGGACATATACGCAATTACACATCATGAACCATACTCAAAAAATAAATCAGTTGACCCATGCAACAGTTATCAGCTTTTTGCACAGCAAAACACAACTTTATCATAGGCTCAAAAATTGCTGAGCAGCTGAACAAAATTTTTGCACTATTTTAAAACTGAAGGAGATAAAACAACTCCATTCCACAATCCAGGAGATTAAACAATAATACAACCCACCCATCAGCTCTCCCTCTACCCTCCTTTCTTCTTTCTTTTTCTCTTTTACTGTAAAAACTGACCTTTAACTGTTAAGTAGCTGAAAAGCATAATTAATTACAGAGCTTTTGCTGCCGTTGAAACAAAAAACAAATATATATATATATATATATATATATATAATAAAAAAAAAAAAAATTATACAGAATATGCCCATAATTAAACCATTCTGCATAAATTTGAAGAAAAACAGATCCTAAAACTGGAAATCTACTCTGAAATCAACGAAAAATGCAATCCCTGCCTGTATATGGATAAATTGGATTCCCAAAATGTGGTCTTCTACCAAGTTCTGCTAATTTACAAGCTAACTATCAGCTAGACTTTTGAATTCACGGCAATCTGGAACCAACTTGTGAAGCATAGAGGTTCCCTGGAAACGTACTAATGACCAAAAATTTCTCTTCAACTCACGAATCTGCAGCAATAGTAAGTAATTGTTATTTGATGTCAAAACAGTAGAAGTTTTGGGGGTAAAAATGCAGACATTCAAAAAGTGTTACCTGGTCAAGCGTCATCTTTGTGAAACCAAAACGATCTGTCCATATAGATCCTGCCTCCTCTGCTGCTGGAAGCACTATGGTCTTAACTTTAAGGAACGCCAAGAGTCTCTCGATGCAAGCAAATAGTGTTTGAAAATAACCCTACAAGAAGGTTTGATGAACATTTAAAATGCCTAATCACTTTATCAGGAAATGCCTAACTTGTGAAGGTGAAATACCACCACTTTTTACTGGAGTTGGAAGCAACCAAATAATATATAGTTTATAAGGCAGTTGATAAATTAAGGTGAAATTAAGTTGACAATGTCTCCAGAGATAGCATGTATTAAAGAATAAAGATGAGGATACAGAAGACCCATAGGAGGAGCAAACTTGTAAAAAGTGGGTTAGGATAAATTGTAATAAGAGCCAAGAGTGTAGGATGCAAAAAGTGATGCTTATTATGGTTCACGGCAACCTTATGCTCAAGTGTATCAATAAGAGAAGTTGATTTTTAGAATAATGAAAAAGAGATAAGACATGAGAAACAGGGCCTAATATGCTCAAGTGTATCAATAAGAGAAGTTGATTTTTAGAATAATGAAAAAGTGATAAGACATGAGAAACAGGGCCTAATATGTACCAAGAACAGGGCCCTTGATGATACCACTTCTAAACCGTAATCCAACTTAAGGTTATTCTGACCATTTGATCTAGACCCCCATACCTTCCCTAGTCTCTCATATGTGTTTACTTTAGGCAGCACCAAGGACTTTTTTCTTAAATTTCTCTGACTAGTCTTTACAACTCCCTCAAGCACTTTTCATGCATGCCGAGGCATATTTGACCATCAAAATCTATAATTGTGTACTAGCAACAATTTAATGGTTTAATTAGTAATGCATTACCAAGCGTGGCTGAATAAAACAGATGAAGTATTTTACTTCATTGATACTTTGAAATTTCAAATTTAGTAGGACATTGTGGGGGTAAAGTTAAATATACTTAAACTTGTAGTGTCAACCAGCAACAGATCAATAATAAAATAACCCAAGGGCCTATTCTGATTTACTGAACTCAACTGAACTGATTGGAGCTGAACTAAACTGAAGGGAGCTGAATTGTTTATGAGAGAAGGAAATTAGTAACTGAACTGATCGGAGCTGAGTTGAGCTGAACTAAACTGAAATTAAGCTGAAGAGAACAGGCCCTAAATATAATGGAAGGATATCATTACTAGTGGAGGTGATGCCATATCAAAGGCCACAGAAAATTTAGATAAGTCATTATCTCTCAGTAGACTACTTACTTTGCCATGATTACCACTGCTTGTTGCGACCAACGGGAGCTCTGCAACATCTGGACCAAATATTCGGAATATTCCAGCTGATACAACCACTTCGCTGCACTTAGTGAGGAAAAAAAGTCAAGTTGCCAAAAGGTCACAATTTCATAATGTTTTGAATAGAAAAATGAAGAGAGCTTATTTACTTGGCGGTTAACACAGCACAGTACATCCCTCCGTATTCTTGGCCACCCACATTCCTCCTGTCACAAAGAATTGAATTAAAAAAGCAATCATGTTAGGTTAAGTTATACCCACATAAAGCAGCAATAGGAACTCATTTTAAAAGGGAAAAGTGCCTACCCGTAAACCATTGCAGGTATAAGGTCATGTCCAGACACTACATCAATGATTGGGGCAAAAGATTCCTGAAGGATGAAGAAAAGAGCTTAGGAACTAAAAAAAAAACCTATATATCATTGCCATAATCATATACAATTTGAAATTTTAAAAAGAAGCAGCCCAAAAATTCCATTCTTGAAGATAGAATACAATTAATTTTCCATAGTCATATTACACAAGTACACATATGAAACATAAAGTCAACACAGAACAATATTATTAGAATAATCTAGAAAATTTTAATAAAGGCACCTAAAAGCCTTACATGGAAAATAGCTACAGCCTGCGAGAGCAAAGGTCTAGTTTCAGGAGATGCAATCTTTCCACTGAGAAGTCTCCAGCTTACTTCCAAATCAGATCCACTATCAGAACCAATGTGCATGTTCTTTTTCCGGATGATATCCACAAGAGATTTAGGAAGCTTTTCAACTCCTCGAACCAGAAGATTCTGCAAAGAAGATTCAACCCTTCTACAATCCATGCTACAAAACCATTTCCCATCCGGCAATTCCTGAACCATGATGACACCATCATCTCAAGCTTGAATCAAATTGCAGATAAGAAAAGGAGGAGATAATTCATAAGATGTGTATGATATTATTGGATGGATGCATACCGTAAGGTCTGCCATATTATGATCCTTTAAGCAACCAACATGATATTCCTTCTCACACTGACAAGAGAGAATTCAAAATTAATTTTAAACAAACAAACAGCTTGATCAAAGACTAACGAAAAACTCAATAGAAATTGTACAATGGCCTCTACTTCAAAAGCATTCACGATTTTTTATAAGGTAATTCTTTGACATTCAATTATTTGGATGTGAATTTACAAAAGCAGGCATATAAAACATGTCCCACATCCCAAAGCACACTTGTGTACATGTTTACTACCTAGTTGGGTACCAGGTTCTAACCCCCAACAGTTGCTATTGTTTTTCCACACTCACAACCTTTTTCCATCTGAACTGCAATTTACTACTGACTTCTCAATACATGAAAATTACACTCCTCCCTTGTCAATAAAGAAAATATACGCATCAGTCTCTCATATGAAAGCAACAAGGATTGTTACCCTCAATGAATACAAATCAAACAGACTAAATTGCTTCAAGAACTGATCCAGAATCTAATGCATATTCTAACTAATGGGCCTCCTTAACTAACGGGCCTCCTTGACTAAATTGCTTCAAGAATTGATCCAGAATCAAATGCATATCAATCTCTCATATGAGAGTAACAAGAAGTGATATCCTAAATGAAATCAAGTCAGACAATAAATTCAAGAATTAATCCCAGGAGATTTAATGCCTATTATACCTCTAAGAGGTCGTCTAGACTGTGAGCAATGAGCTGTAGCAAATACAGGGATACTTATTGTTAGATTGAAACATCCACCTGGATAAAGCCATAAAGGTAAATCTTTTGGGCTTTTCATTTCCAAAAAACCATTATTGTGACTTTATCTATTCCTCCTCTGGCTATTTTGACTGGTTGTCTGACACCATCTTCATTATTTTCTTTCTCATTTCTTCCTTCCTTTCATCTTTATCCCTCAACCTTCATGGTGATTACAAATTTAGATGTTTTGGTTTCAATTATTTTTCTTTTTTCGCTTTTGTATTTTCAAGGATCATGGATCATGGATCGTCCATGGTTGAAGTCTTTTTAAACCATTACTTTCATCTTTGATGATTTATCATTTCTGAGTTCAAGTTTATCAGCTCCGATTTTATTGTTTCTTTTTGATGTTGGTTTTTCGAGAATTCTGATTCTACTAATCAAATTTTGCTTGCATTTCTAAGGGTTCTGAATCTTTCTAAAATTATTTTCCACTTTGTATTCGATATTATATTTTTTGGGCCACACGAAAATGACATTTTCCTTTCGTCTTTCCTTAACGTTGTATGTAAAGCAGTTAAGGAGTTTGTTGCATCACATTTCACTTTGATATTACTCTAATATATCCACTTAGATATTACTCCAATATTTTCCACTTGGATAGTTGGATGTCACATTCCACTTGGACATTACTCTAATATTTTCCACAAGGGTTGCAGCTTTTCATTTGAGACATAGAAACCATGACACCAAATGATTACTCTAATATATATTTCCCTGACATGCCCAACCTATTTCTTAAGAAAAATTACCCCCTATTCCCACATAATAATTCCAACTAATAGACCTCTCTCTCTCTCTCTCCCCCCCCCCCCCTGATTCCAACTAATTATTCCACATAAATGGTAGAGGATTCTGCACAAGAAGGCAGCTTTGGCTTCCAACATGAACATTTCTTCAAAACATATACTACCTCTGTTTCACATTATTCACAACGATTAGACATTTTCTACTCTTGTCAAATCGCTGCAAATAATAAGAAACGGAGGTAGCAAATGGGGAGAAGGCAGGTGGGAACGAGCGGAGCGAGAGCATTTTGTTGAACAAATTAGGGACCTAGATTTTGCAGAATTAAAAAATAAAAGGGAAAAAAGTGAGGGGAAAAAAAAAGAGGAGAAAGAGCAGCCATCACATAAGGAAGGCAATGACACACAAGGAGCAGTTGATGGAAGGGCACGAGTCACATGGCAAGCTATGAAGTCAAAGAGGATCTTCAGAGACTCATAGAGTCATCCACTTTCCAAGGGTTAGGATGCTGAGAAAGTTTGTTTCTTCCCATGGAATATTTCAATAAATTGAAGGATACAATTACGCTATTAGGGAAATTTATGCACAAAACAAAAGAAGCTCGGTTTTGGAATAGATGTATTAAAAAAAAAAATTATATATATACATACATATATATATTAAAATCCAAGACAACCGCCATATGCTACAGTTTGGTCTCTAAGGAAACTTCTTATCTTCCCTTTGTATATCACAGAAGATCGAAGGATACAAATATACAATTAGGGGATATTACACACAAAATATATATTAACCTTGGACTAAAAATGAAAATACATAGATAAACCCTTGAGAATTGCCACATGCCACCAAGTCCATATGGCCATTTGAGCAAAATCTTGGCCAGAAAGTCATTGTGCATAATTTGAGGGTATTTCACAATTTTATCTTAAAATAAAAACTAAAAGTGAAGAAAAGCTGGCACCCAATTAAACAGACATGCCCAGAATCATAGTATTAATCCCCGACAGCAACACTGCATTGTAAAGGTTGTTATGCATAAAGAGACTGAGATATTAGGCTGCAGGTCTCACAAATGCAAATTGTTCACATGGCCGCAAAAGTAGTAACACCACTGCCATTAAGATCGCATCCGAAATTTAAAGCCAAGATCATACTAAAGATTTTACTCAAACTAAGATTTGCTTGGACCGTTAACAGTAATGGTAAAGGACTATAGGCACAAGATAAAACAATAAAATGAGAAAGATACCTGGTCACAGAGGATAATTGTACGAGGCCCAAATCCTGTCTTGCAAAAGTCAAAACCTCTGCAGCAGATATAGTTCACACAAACTAGTGTTAAATGCACTATAGCATAAATAAGAATGATAAGATCAATTTTTAAAGAGAGCAAAATTAAAGGCATGCATACAAAACAACCCAAAATAATGAAATACAAACAAAATAAGATCCTAATTACAAGCAAATCTCTTCATATCATGAGAAACCATAAATATGGAAGCTTGTTCCTGACATTCAGCTTTAAGTTATGTTCAAAATATTCATTTTGGCCTCAACTTACAGCCAGAACAGGTGTATAGATGCAGAATTGACAAAACCAACTCAACCACACATGCCACTCCTACCACAACTTATCAGGAAATAGCCTCAACAACTAATATTATCAGGTTGACATAGCATTTGTTTGACTCCACAACATCCACCTCCATGTATAACACACATGAAAAGGGATACAAAAAACTAAAAAGTAATCACCATTGACCCTTCTCAAATAAGTTTACTTGTACTTGCAAGTTAGAGATCATTTAAAAACACGGATAGAAATATTGGAAGTACCTGCACAATATGCAGGCACTAACTTCAGATGCAAGGTTGTTGACAATTCGAATGGACTGCTTTGTTATCTGCTCTATAGAATCAACTCCACTAACTCTTCCAGCAGCAAGCGCATTAGCATTATGCGCAACAAATTTCTCCCTTTCAAACATATTCTGACAGTATTTACAATACCATTTTCCACGAGGTATGCTTGGCAAAGATGCACACTCTGCGTTTTAAAAATATATATAAAAGCACAGAACACAACAATTATACAAGTCAAGTCACTGTGGCTAATATCATGACATAAAGGTACTAAACACGTATTTAACTGGTAAAAAAGAAACCGAAAGTCATGAATACTTGACCAGTGATAATTAGGATAAAACAATACACCAACTTATGAAAGGAAGATGAACATCAGTATCACAACATAACAGAACGAAACAAAACCTCTGCCGTGTTTTGAATCAAGTAGTGCATGAAAACAGCCTCTCATTTACCACTGAGGTATAATACAAGTCCACACCTCATCCATATACAAGTGTAATTAAAAAAAAAATAATAATAATAAATTAAAAATTAAAAAAAAAGGCAATGTCCATGATGGATTTATATTAACATCCACAGCAAGGTACCAAGGGTCTTGTTTAAATCAATCGGAAAAACATGAAATATTCACCCCTTCACAAAACCATGCCAAGAAAAAATCATACCAAGAGAGACAAACACAATAAGAGGCTCTCATTAGGCAATCACATAAACATTATCCATTAGTATAACTGGCTGGCCCATTAATAACTACTTTTTGCATATCTACTTTTTGATGCCATCATGTCCACAAGGTTTTGGATGCATGTACTATCCTTTTAAGTTCTAACTCCTGAGAGTACAAAAATTCAGGAGGAGAGGAGAAAAAAGAGACATTAAAAGGAATAAACTTTCAGAGATAGTAATAATAAATCGTACTCTCGTGATTTCTAAGGGATAATTCCCATGTTTACAAATTCATCAAATCGTTGTAAAAAGTTTTCATCAGTTCATGAAAAAGCTTTGATAACTACAAATGCAAGTAACACATAGCAAAACGAAGATAATCACATCGTTATAATTTTCATTTCTCTACCCACTGTCACATGCCCATATCTTTCATTCTTCCTCTCTCATTACTTCTCTCTCATCAATTCTTCTCAACTTCTTTAAGTGAGATTCTCACTCAGATTTTCACTCAAAACTTCATCAACTTAAGGTAAAACTTTGTTTTTACTCACATCGTTCTTTTTAATGTTCTCTAGTTTTATTTTTGGGACTAGGCTTTGTTGTTGATGTTGTTGTTGTTGATGTTTAGTTTTATTTTAGTTGTTGCTCCTTAATTGAAAAATCTGTGTTGTTTGAATATATTGATTTTGTCAATTTCTTAAACGTTTACATTTATTTGTCCTTTTTTCTTTCTCTGATTTTGTGTCCTTGTTTTTCTATTGATTGATGTCTAATTTTCCTTTCATCCTAATTTGTTTTTTTCCCCTCTGTTTATTCTAATTTTTGTTTTGCAGACATGCAAGTTGAGAGCTTTTTCATGGTTTAAAAATTTATGCATTAGACATTTTATATTGATCATATTTTGCTACATATTTTGAAAATGTAACTTCACATTTCATCTAAAATTGTACTTTGTAGATTCCAGTTTAATATAAATATCAAATATAACCATATTAAATTTATAATTTTTTGTCGAATGAACATAATGGGATGACAAATTTGAGTAAAAATCATAATTATTGCCTTAATTTTTTTTATATTAAAATAAACACAGTTAATAAAATCAGGTCAAAGCAGGTTGCTATCAGGTTGACCTGAACCAGAACAAATCAGATCTTGGTCAGGGATTCTGACCCGAAAAGTTAAGACAGGTCAGGTTAAAGTTGGGGATTTTTGACCCAAACCCGAAGTGACCCGAACCTGAAAGTGACCCTATCCGACCCAATTGCCACCCCTTTCTTCTTGATCACTTACAAATTGCTTGAATTTCAGATAGTCAAATGAACTCCATTACATAAAGAACATTTATTATTAACAGAATCCTTAAGAAAAGAAGGAAAAAAAAAAGCACTGGCTTTCATCCCTCAAGGCCCAAGGTAAAAAAAGTACATGTAGGACATAGCTTACCCGTATGAAAAGCTCTTGGACATCCATCGCAAAGAAGAAGATTCCCACCATCAGCACAAATAGAGCACAGGTCATCATTGTACTTGGCAGAATGCCGACGATCTTTTATTAGGGTTACCGATAACTCATGCAGAGAGACCCCATTAGATGTGTATATATAGCAATACCTATCATCATTCACAAGGATGAAGGGTTCAACAAAAACACATTACTCCAAATGAGAAGCCACAAAATGCTATAATGAAAACTTACGGTTTTCTGCGTGAAGCACAACCAGCATGTGCCTCAAATTGCGAAGCACTAACCTGAATAATATTTCATGTCAAAAAACAAGCTTCAAAAAGAAAATGACAGTATTTAAGGTCAAATTAAAGACAGACAACGCACCACCGTATCACAGCAATTACAAAGAATTCCAGAACCCTTTTTGGAGCCCTCCAGTAATTTCTGCACAATTTATACAAAAAAAAAAAAAAAAAAAGGATTATATACATATAAACTTAAAAAGATTGCAACAATATTCGGAAGTCTAAAACTGATCCCTATTTACACTAACCTGTCCTCTAGCATAATAGCCAAGCACAGTTCCATCAGGCAATACATCATCTTCAAAAACCAACTTATGCAGCCGAAGGTCTCTGAACATAAAAGTCAAATGAACAACAAAAAAGAATAATCAGCGCATGAAAAAAAAAAAAACATAAAACATCACAGTTAAGCTCATATAGACATAGCTGCTCGTGATATAAAGAGATGTGACACTTGCTCATACAAAACATCAAGCATGGTAGTTCTAATTGAGACCTACACCAAAATGTATTAGCAAGAAAAAGGAGAGGAAACATACTTTCTTGTAATTTTCCCACTGGTTTTCTTCTCTGAAGATTTAAGAGCGGTGGGAGTTTTAGAAGGCTTGGGTGTCAGAACTTCTTCTCTTAACCTAAACAAACAAGATAAAAAAAATATTAAGTCAAAATCAATCAAAACCCTGCAGGGATGATTTCACTTACCCTTGAAGGGAATTCAAACATGTACCTTGTTTTAACTTTTGCACAAGCATTTCCAGGTGAAGGCTTCGGAGACAAGGCCAGTTTAGATGACCTAATTTGACAAATTAGATGAGATCCATGCTATTAAGGGAAACAAATCAAATCATACACCAAGACTTACTGTAATATGAGTTAATCACACCGATAAACAATTTTAAAGAATCAGATCCAAACAATTACTTCAAATTGATACAACAAACCATAATCATAGACATCATAGCAAAATGTATGAATTTTTTAAAGATGCAAATTTGGAATAAAGCTGAATGTATGATCCATACCTTCTCTTCAATTTCTTGTGATCCTTTGTTCCTGCGGATTTTCCCACCACGGGACTGACACAAGTCTTTGGAGACATAGATGAATCTTGTGCACTGCAATGATAAACAAATACAATGATTAATGTAATTTCTTTCATGTTTCAGGGAAACACTTAAAGCTATGATGAAAATCACATTGTACCCAAGAATAAACCTAGACAGCAGAATTCTTACCTTGCCATAGCTAACTAACCACACTTTTCCAACAAATAGGGAGATTAAGTATTACAAAGAAATAGAGATACTTATGCTGATTATGAAAACCTAGATTGAGGAACAAGAAAAGGGGCTGACAGAAAATCTGAGTAATGAATAATTTTATGAGCCCACTAAGTTAGACAAGAGTAAGCAACACTAGATAACTACAAAAGGCCCAAAAGTTAAAATATGCAAGCCAAGCCCAATTGGAGGTTTATTTTCTTGGTGAAAATGATCATATTGGGACAGAACCTTTGTTTCATTCAACCACTCTGTAAAGAATCAAATAGTCGATGCAAAAGCAATTAATATTAAAGCACTTTACACCTTTCTCATCCAAAGACCCAGCCAATCATATTCTTTTCAGCAATGACTCAGAATAAGATATGTAACTGTGATGGTGCAAAAGAAACTAAATACTTATATGCTATGTTACTCGGACTCTTTCATTTACCTCACGTGTCCGTGTCGACACGACACGTGTCGGACACCGACACTTGGACACTTAACTAAAAACACAATTTTTTCCAAGAAAATGGACGAGTCCGATGCTTGGACACCCGTGTCTAATTTGACACTTCATCCGAGTCCAAGTAACATAGCTTATATGAAAAGCGCTACTTAACAAAATTTTCCATGCAGCAAAAGCACTAGCCAACCTATTTCGCAAGCTGACATCAGCCATAGCAATAGCTTATCAACCTTCCTAGTACCTGCGCTTCTATTATAGGAAAAGACCCACTATTTTTTTATTTATTTCTATGCTGAGACCACTTTATTACTATTACGTATTTTCTAATATAAAGTTAAATACTAATATACTCACTCACATCTCTCAAAAAGCAAAGACCCACTTCCCGCCAACTATAATAAAGAATTTTTAGAAATACTCCACTACCAACTTGCACACAATACAATAAGAAAGCCAACTGTTTTGGGTAAAATCTTGCACTGGTCAAACTGATTTAATTGTTCCAGGATAGAGGTAGTGATTTTTCATTCAACTGCTTTTGTATGTTATAATTGAGATGCATAAAGATCTTGGTTTTAAAAAGCGCGCCTCGGCGCGGCGTGCCTCACTCCCAGGCTCTAAGAAATGGGCTTTAGCTAGGCAAGGCTCAGTCACCTATGGAAGGCGCGCGCCTCGTGCGCCTCAAAGCGCCTTTGGTAAGGTGCGCCTTCGCGCCTCAAGGAAAATAACTAAGATATAAGTTATAAATTGAAAAATGATGGAAACTTTTTCAAATTTACACTACCTTAGCTTTACATATATTATTATTTAATTTATTATGAATCTTTTTAATTGGTATTTAGTACAATCAAAGTAAAAAATAATTTGAAATAAATATGTAAATACATGCGCCTTGCATACAAAAGGCGCGCACCTTCGCCTTGCGCCTCGCTCCTAGGCTGCAAGGACCATTTGCGCCTTGCGCCTTTTAATACTAAGATAAAGATACAAAATCTTACAAGCAAAGGACAACAGTTTCAGACAAATCAGGTTTCTTTCAGTACGTATTGAAATTCATTTCATCCCCAAATTCAGTATCATAGATTCCAGGAATAGAGGACAATAGTTGAAGTTTCTTTACATAATATATCCCCTAAATTTTTGTAACAAAAGAAGCCAAGTCATCAGCCAAGTGAACCAAGTGAATTGAAAAACCCACATTGTAGCCTATGAAAGCTTTATTGAGGATTTGGTATAAGAACCAACATTGAATCAGGTCAAAAAGTAGACTTGGATAAGTTTATTTATTTCCAAAGTTGTTCGGAGTTTTCTTTATGGTCAAATTTAAATTCCCTGAATCCCAAAACTTAGTAAATATGGCTAATATTCAGGAAGATGGCTATTTTTAGTAAGACCAAATCCCAAGACTAACGGCACATGCATTTACATGAACTAATGAAGAGACAAATTAACATTTGAATAACCTAATCCAAAACTAGTATTCGCTATAATCAATTTTAACCAAAAGGCTTCAAGGCAAATTAGGCAATGTATCCCCCGAATCTTCCTCGCGAGTATTCTCTATATGAACCGATTGTGGTTTACCACAGTGTAACATATTGGAAAATCAAAACTATAGATATGATGATCACAATTAATCTCTGTAGAAAAAAATGGCTAATAAAAGACAACATAAGCTTTCAAGAGGCTTGCTCTCCCTCAAAAAGTAAACAAATACTAAAGGAAACAATCAACAATAATATCATGACCTTTTTTTTTTTCGCTTATCTCTTCATATAGCATTTCTCAATCTGACTGACTTCCTTCCTCTTCAAAGCTAATTCTAACAACTAATTATGAACAACCTATATTATCCCTCCCAATAGATCAGTCTATTACATTACCGGCCACACAAACTTCTACTTTTTCCTTATGGTGGATAGTAGTCAGCTTCATTTTCTCAGAATCTACAATGTTGGTCAGCATTTCATTGATAGAACTAGCCAGAACTGAACCCAGTATGAACTGCAGGTCTTCCTTGGAGTTAAAAGTGTACGTCTGTTGGTTAAATAAATGCAGAGAAGAAAAACGTTGCATAGGCTAGGTAGACTAATTAAGGGGATGGGTTCGGTAGAAAACTGAATTGAGTAATCACATCCTGTGTAGATTTGTTTGCTATGAAGATTAGGTTCAACAAATAGAGTTGCGGTTCCTGTCAACTGAAGAGCTGAAAAATGGGAGTTGAAATATAGGGTTGGGTGTTCGGGTCTAAAATTAGGATAATCAGACATAAGATATGTCTCATAAAAAGATAGAAAAATATAATCCAGAGAGGAATTAACAAGTATTGGGTAAGCTATTGCTGGGCTTGACATCACCATCATACAATCTTTTAGAGAGGCTTTTTCTCTCCCAAAGTGTAAAAGGAAACACTCAATAATAACAATCGTCAAGATTTCTTTTTCACTGATCACCTCTTTATATAGCATTTCTCTATCCGACTGACTCCCTTCCTATTTAAGCTAATTCTGACGGCTAATTACGCTACATTACTTTTCCAAAATAGGCCAGTCAATCACATACAACAAATTGACTCTGCACTCGCATCCTCTTTTCTTGCCTACTATTTTCAAAATTGATGACAATATGTTTTTCAATTTCCATGACTACATCTTAAAAGTCTTGACCAATTAAGAGTAAGGCTAGATGCATTTAGAGCACTCTAGAGTCTGAACCCTGACAATGGCAACAGAGATTTTGGTTTGTAGTTGTGTTTTGTCCAAAGGTGATCAAGTAACCATGCGGAAAGCTGAAAAAAGTCAGAAGGTAACACATACTTTTTTACTATTTTCTCACACATATTTGTTTCTGAAATTCTTCCCATCCTTGAACTGCTGCGTAATTTTGGCGTAAGAGAAGCACCTGCTGATCTGTAAACACCAAAGAAACAAACAAATGTGAGGTTACAGGCCATTATGGACTTATGGTAACATATGTACACATTCATACTGCATCAAAATATGCAACCCACTGAAAATTAAAAGGTAAATAAAATAAAGAAAGCATAAGCTGAACAAAAGAAAAACTTAGGAATAAATGTAAAGTACGAACTTTTTCACTAATTTTGCTCGACTTCTGCCTTGAAGCATTTCAGAAGGCAAATCAGCCTGAGAAGTGTGCAACTTTGGAGTAAGAATTGCTTCACCTGAGCTGGATTTACCATAAAATTATCCAACATTATGGTAAACATAACTAAATGAGTAATATGGACAATTAACAGCAAATATAAAATGTACATGTAAAACTACCTGCGATCATTAACTAGCAGAAAAAGAAGAGGCACCAACTAAAAGGTCAGGTACAAGCTGACTACAAGAAAATATCACAAAAAGATAAAACTAGGGATACTAACTTTTCAATTGAATTTTTAGGGCTGATATCTTGAGCGTTGTCACATGCTGAAGTAGATTGGGAAGGAAAAACAAACTTTGATGACCTAAAAAAGTTAAAAAGGAGAACACATATAATCAGTAGATGCAACAGCAGCAGGAACAGCAACAACAACAAAAGTGCTTTTTGGCATTTAAAGCCCTATTGCCAAATTGACATCATCAAAATTTCATGTAATATTAAAAGATCCTAGAAGGTACACAACAAAACTTCGCCCACAAAATTCTATAGGATAACAGCCTCCAATGTGTATAGTTAAAGATTCAATTCCGTCTAAGTCCTTTGCCCTTTGTGGCTCTACGCACACACACACATATTTTTTTTTAAAAAAAAAAGTGTACCCTACCAACTTGGATGTCTAGGAACATATCATTATATACATCAGAATATATTACAAAACATGTCAGAAAATAAAATGGAAATTGGCAAATCATACAGATAAAACCAAATATAACGATCCCAGATTTCTTGCTGCTTTATGATTAGCAAGGAATTTGAGATAACCGCTTAAAGCAGGGTTCATGATACACTAACAGCATACAACCCATGCAGTCAAAGTTCGTGTTTCACACTATAGACTGAAATGTAGAGTCAAAACTCAGCAGCCTCTCTTGCAAGGAGAGAGGAGAGACTACTACTAAATATTGGGTGCCAGAAATCCCAAGATCCCCACTGAAAAATAAAAAATTATACAAGTAAATATTTTTCATAAACATATTTAGTAGTCACTCTCTCTCTCTCTCTCTAAAAATATAAATATTTTCTAAAAAGGGAGAAGTTTTCACCCACTTTAGGACATACCACAGGACCAGCTAGGCCTTTTTTCACTTTATATTTCACAGGTATTAAAAAACACTTCCTCTGCTTCACTAAAATAGCAACACATGCTTCTGGTAAATTAATATAGGCAAGGGGAGAGAGACAAAACAATCCATAGATAAAGAGGGGAGGAGAGGAGAGAAATGTTAGGGTTGAGTCATTGTGAGTGCATAGCAAAAGTCAAGATGTAAACATTGAGAAAAATAAATGGAGAAGGAAGGAAAGAAAAGAAATAAGCAGGATATGAAACTTAACGTGGTAAAAATTCTCAAATAGAGGCAAAACATACACAAATAACAAGCACCCAAATGTCCACTATCTAATGTAGGATAGTACAAGTACACAAAATTATCAGGCTTGAATTACACAATTATGGCTCTCACTGTTGTTGGGAAAAACTCACAACAAAGTAGTGAATAGGGAGATTGTGTCCCCACACACGGAGTGTCTAGGAGGATGAAACATTAAAGATCATATTGGTGGATCACTCCCAAATTATTTCCCTAACACCAATATATATAAATGACATAAGTTGACAAGTGTAGCTTCATGAAATTGAATTAATGAAAATTTGTAAAATTTCATCATTAGATACCTTCTAAGTTTGCGAATCTAGAGGAATCATAAACCTTTCCAATAAGTGCATTACTAAGGCTATGTTTAATTCACCTTTTTTTTTTAACTTATCCAGTCTAATTTGATTGCCTCGTTTAACAAAACTTTAACCTAATATGTACGCTAACTTGCAAATAAAACAATAAGGTCTAATGCTCTCAAATTTTTTCCTGATGTAATCTGAAACAAGTAATAAGGTACTTAAATAAGGTGAGCTAAACATAACCCAAGCAAGATATTTCTAAAGAATGGCATATGCTCATAATTCAAAATAAACATTAACAATAAAAGTGGTCTTATTAGGGTTGTCAAAAGCTGACACGACACAATAACACGACACGAACCCGACACGAAATAAGCGGCTTTGGGTCAAGAAGTCTCGACCCGTTTACATAATTGGGTCGACACGAACACGACACGAAATTAAACGGGTTAGGTTTGGGTTGAAATTTCCAACCTGAAATCGACACGCATAACCCTATTATATAAGTGGGTTGAATGACAATCCCATCAGCCCGAACCCTACACGTTTAATCTATTTACTTGAGTAGTAAAAAAAACTGAATTTTTTTATTCAAAACTAGTAATTTTGTAAATTACCTTAACACCATTTATACATTTTGGTAAATTTTTGGCGGTTAATTTGGCGAAAAAATTATATATTTCATCTTTTGTAAATTAAAATTTAATTTGGCGGTTAATTTGAGACAATTCTTATGTATGGTTCAATTGTTAAAACTACTAGCTTTAAACCCTTGTGGTATCTTTTGCATAAACTACTAGGTTTGGGTCAAGGATTTTCAACCCATTTAATAAACGGGTAAGGTTTGGGTCAAGGATTTTTCAACCCGTTTAACATCGACACGAACACAAACCCGACACGACACGACCCATTTGATAGCCTAGGCCTTATGAAATTTAGGCCACACAAAACCTAGCAAGAGAGTATTGTGGGCCAATTATAGGTAAATTTAATAATTTTAGTTCTAAAAATTTACAAAAAAAAAAGAAAAATGTTACCTTTTTTTCAAAACACCTAAAGTAGTAAGTGTTCCAATTATTAGGAAATGATGGTAGTATAACAACATCATGATTGATCCCCCCTTAAAAGAGGCTAGGTAGTAGGTAGAATATAACAAATGTAAATAGAAAATAGACAATCATACCTTTAAACAAATGAAGTTAACATGATTCCATCGAAAAAATCAAGATATGCCTAGCATGCTTAAGATGAACACAAAGATACCAACATAGTTAATCAAGGAGAACCTTAACATAGGTTTAACCTAGAACTAGTTTACTTTAAGAGATTAACATCGAAAGTTTCATGGTTTGGTGGTTTAGATTTTAATGTTATAATCTTGACATCACGAGATCAAATCTAGTAAGGACCATTTATAATATATTTAATTGAATGTGGATGACAAGGATTAAGATTCCCAATGGAAGAGTGACTCATGACATCTAAAGTCCTAAACTTGTTGAGGAAGCAAATCGAAGACAAGGTCAAACTACACAAGATCAGGGAAAACAATAAAGGAAAATGAGCTTCGACTAATCAATCACTTGCTAGCAAAATTGAAATTCACACCTTCATGTATGGTTCTTCTTAAGCCTCATAAGGGAGACTTAAACCTCTAAATGGTCTCAAAAGGTGAATAAGACTCAATCCATCCCTCCAAATATGCTACCAAGCTTCCTAAGAATCCAACATAAAAAAATACCAATATAACTCTTCAATACATAGGAAAAATTAATTTCTCTACCCTAATCAGTAACAGCTTTTTTTATTGCTAATCCCCAATACAATTTGATGAACCACATATTCCTCCAGTGATATCAAATCAATCAAAGCATTAATCTCATAAGAGGGTCGGCCACATAAACCAAATTTGATTATTCCATGTAGACATCGACAAAAATCTTCCTCCTCCATCCCTTATGATCCAATGCCTCATCCTCATACAAATCCATGTACTTCATATCCCTCTTTACTCCTTCCAACCAAGTCATTTTCGGTCTCCCTCTCCCCGGTTTAAACCCCGTCGTTGCCTCGTTTAACCCCACCGTGGTCCTACTCTTCCAATCTTTGTACCGGTGCACCCTTGGGTCTCTGTCTTACATGTTCAAACCAACGCAGGCAATTTTCCTTAGTTTGTCTCCAATGCCTGCCACACCTACTTTCTTTCTTGCGAATAACCTCATTTCTAATTCAACTTAACATGCGCATTTCTGTAACCTCCAACTTTTTAATGTGCTCCTTTTTAGAAGCACGACATTTTGTACCATAAAGACACGGGACTGTCTTCAAAGCCACACTAATCAGAAACATACAAAGCAACTACCTTGGGGAACAGATACAAATCAAGGTTTTAGATTTCCACAATATAACAATTATTTAGCATATCTTTGGACCAAATCACATTTCCAGTATTCAACACATACACTTGAGGAGAAAAACAAAGAACATAACAGTAAAGAGTTCATGGACCAGGCATACTTACATATATATCTATAAATAAAAGGCAATAAAGATTGAGATGCTGAACTTGCCTAAAAGAGACCAGCAGCATCAAAAAGCTAGGAGCCTAGGACAGAATGGTGGGTTGACTATTTACAGAAGAGATTGATAACCCCTAAACTACAGAGATGGAAAAAAAGGAAAGAAATAAAATGATAACTATAAGGGGCCCTTTGGTTGGGGTATTCAACAAACAGAAAGGGAATCAACTACCATAAATCCCTATCCAATCATTCCCTTTACCCCTCCCATTACCCTATTTTCCTATATTTTCATTCCCCACCCACCGGCCCCCACGGAATCACTCTAACCCCAAACTCGACCGACACCACTGCCAACCACTACCTAGCCACCAAAAAATCGCCTAACACAGACACCACCAACCACCCTAATGCACCGAAAAAACAAACCATCTTTCCCCAATCTACCTAACTTCAATTGAAATAACCCTCACCCACCATGTACACCACCCATTACCCACGAAAATAACCATACCCACCACGAAAACCACCGCAAAAACACCCAAAAAACCATGACCATCTCAATAATAACCATAACAACCTCAAACACCCAAACAAAACAACACATAACACTCTAAAAACAAACTACCAACTAGATCTACCAAAAGATTACTTAAAAAAGAGAGCGATGACATTGACATATACCAATCTAGTTGGTTCGGGGGTAAGACGATGGAAGGGTGGCAGTGTTGCAGGGAAAGGGGAGTGTGGTCGCCGTTAGGGAGGATGGGGGCCGACGAAGGAGAGTGGGGAGCTCGGCGGCGCCGGAGGGGAGGGGGCTGGAGTTGGTTGTTGGTTGTGTATTTTGAAACTTGATTCCATTCTTTTGAAGTAAAACAATTCTCCTCTTTCTCTTCTTTTAGCCATTCCTTTTCCCTTTGCGAACCAAACGGCCTCTAAAAGTTATGGTCACTCCATTTTCCAAAACGTCATTGAATTAACAAATAATGAACTGAACAAAGGGGAGGCATATGAGCCCACCATCTTCCTAGTAAGATGAATCAATAGACTTCTATTTTGGTCTAGGATGCACGGACTCGGGTACGGGTGTTGAACTCGAGTATGGGTCTAAGTGTCGGACTTGGAAAATTCTAAAAATTAAGGATCCAGGGACACGTTTTTAAAGAGTCCAAAATTTTAGATTTGGACTCGGGGACACGGAAATAAATTTTTTTGTTTAGTAATGTACCTGGGCAGAAAAAAAAAACACGGTAAGAAAGAAAAGTCAAAGTATATTTATTGTTCAAAGTAAAATAAAGATAAAAGAAAAGGGAAAAAAGAGAAGGTAAACCTGGTAAAGAGGAGTTAGAGGACACGTGATTATATCCCCACCTAAAAAAGTAACTACTTTTCCCCACCTACCCCCACCTCCACAATTAAAAAAAAAAAAGGAAAACAGAAATTGCAACTTGAAAATGTCGAAGAACTAAAACAACCAGCCTCCCGTCGCCGGCTAAGAAAGCCGGCAACTTCTTTGTGCCGACCTGCTCGTCTTTCCCTTCCGATCAAAAGCCTTAAGATTTTGATTCTTGTTTTGGTGAATCCAACCTTCTATTTTAGATCTAGGGTTTAAGACTGAGGAGTCCACTTTTTCTCCCGGGGCGTCGTGATATGGTGGGGTGGTTGGCCGAGTCCGAGCTTCGCAGATTTTGGTTGAAACGAAAGAAAATTAAACCATTTTGCAAAAAATGAGGTAATTTTACAAGAAAAAGATGGCTCATATTCTACTAAATTATGAAATCCATAAACTTTTGAAAGAATTCGGACGTACCAAACATGTCAATATTAGTAATGATGGTCCGCACTTGCCTCTTTATAAATGAATAGATCCACGGAACACGAATCGAATAGGATAAAGAGTTTATCAATTATTTTTTTTATTTTTTTTTCAGAAGACGATATATTTTGGATATAGAAACTTGAAAAAAGTGCTCACCCTACAGAAATTGTTTATGATATATTAAAGAGGGCAGAGTATCTTGTAGAATTCAACTAAACACTACAATGTGATAGTAAGTTTGCTAGAGTATCTTGGAAAGGAAGCAGGCAATGAGTTTGTTATATAAATAACAGAAGATTAGGGTGAGATAATTACATTGAATATTAATAGAGTATTTTGGGTTAACTTAGCTTTGCCAAATTGTGAGAGAATCCACCTCTCGAAAGTATCTTCTTCACCCCTAATTTCTGCCATTAATGATGCCTAAGTTATACTAATTCATAGTAAAACAAGCCCAATAGGTAATGTAATCCAGTCAATATACAGCAGTTTGCCCAGCAAAGTGCCAAAGAGTTACCATGAGTAGTTCACCCAAGTCCATGATCCATTGCCACACTATAATCGAAGTCCAAGTCCTTAAGGTAAGGGTACAAGGGAGTTGAATGAAATGCAAGGCCCACAACTCACACTCATCTCACTTCTTAGGAAAATGGTCTACATTGATATGCCCAAGAATTAAGTGTTATACTATTACTCATAACAAAACATGTATGACAAAATTAAAGGAGCAAGTATGATGAATGTTTCAAAATCGAAAAAACGTAAAGGAGCATGGTAATAGGAAAAGAAACATGACTTGTAAGCATAAAACTTTTGAAAATACAACTCTTCATAGTTCGAACAAGCATGATGTCCATTAGAGCCTATATGCAGGTTAAACTATCAAACTCAGACTTCAAACACATGATGTCCATTAGAGCCTATATGCAGGTTAAACTATCAAACACAGTAATCCCACTCATGCTCTCCAATTTAACGGACAAATTATTATTCCAAACTCAAAGATCTTAGCCTAAAAAGAGATTTTATAAGTAATGCAAAAACGAGCAGAGTAAAAAAAAATATAAGGTGCATAATTTGAGCAACTAAGAGAACAGAAGAGAATTGTCAAGCTTCAAAATCAGACCTATACCGTTTACGAGTTGAGTACACTGGGCCAACCGAGGACAGATTCAACATAACACATTTGCTGCAGACTGGCTCTGAGCTTTCAGCGTCCATGGAGGAAAATGGCTCTAAAACAAAAAAAAAGCCGGGTCAAAGGACATAGCAACATGAGATATGCATTTTGAAATTCACAATTGATACATCTTATAAAGCCAGAAAAGGGTAGTAACTCACCTTTGCAATTCTGACAAACTATAAGTTTCTTTTCAGGCAAAGGACCAATAGCATTTTGAATTGTGGCTTAATGTACTAAGACGTGCTCTTGCATGCTTTTAGTATATGAATTAAACTTCTCCCGTTCTCAAGATATATGTATTGTACCGCCCGTTTATACTTGTTACAAGCATGAATCTCAAACAGAGAAGGGGGGATAACCTACAAGATTAAATTAACATAAGCAAAATTGACATTATGTTACTGATAATGGTAAATGCCTCAACTGCCAATACTCACTTTGCATCCTTTGCACAATCCGCAAGAACATAGTATGCCAATACCTCTAATTCTTCCATTAAGCTTCAAACCCTATAATGAAAAATCTAAATCTATGAGCATTTAGTTTCCATATATATTTGAGGAAATAGCTAAAAAGGAATGAAAGCAGACGACTTCTACTAAATGAACATTAAAACAATCATTCCACATCAGTGAAATATCCATATTCTATATATACGAATAGCAGGAAAGGTAAGTTAATGTTATAATACCTTGCCGCCATCATAATAAACCGGACATCCCTCTAATAAACCTGTGGCAAGAAGCTCCTGAACATTGCTTGGGACTTTTCCCTGGGATATCTGCTTCGACATTTTCATCTCCAGTTTTCTCCTCGGAACTGCTGAGCTAGGCTCTTCACTATCTTTGCCAGCATCACACTCTGCATTCTCACTACTCTTGACAGGCACCACCGTTCCTATATCTACAGTGACAACCGCCATTTCTGTATCTAGAGTAGCAGGTACCGCCTTTTCCCTATCACTATATCATCCACTTTAGGCTTCGAAGCTGAGCGAGTAACCCTTCTTGAATACTTCTCTATTAATGAATTCTTTACTACCCCATTACTCTCACTCCTTGAGGCTTCAGAAAACACCACTATATCCTTACAAACTTCTCCATTACCCTCATACATTACTCCCTTCGAATTTCCCTCGCTTTGATCAACATAATCATTCCCTTTTGCCACGATATCCTCCTTAGATTTCAATGCTGATCGCGTAAACCGCCTTGGATATCTCTCAAGAGAGGATTTCTTGGCTTTACCATTAGCATTCAATGGAGATTTCGTCCAATCTCCTTCCAACACTTCCTCAACTTCAATAATACCACCATTAGCATGCACCCCATTAACAACTGCATCCTGATAATCTATCTTAATAGCTACCAAATTCTGCTCCTCAAATAGCTCCCCATTCACCTCCACATCATCACACACTTCATTCTTCATCACACCATCACCATCCCCATCACCATCACCATTTACAGAGCTCCCATTAACACCCTTTTCCTCGACCTCCATCGACGAAACTTCATCCACATTCTTAACCTCCTCATCACACACTAACTTCACAACTTCACTATCCACCCAACTGCCACACCAATATCTCCCTCCTGCACTCCAATTTTCTCCTCCGGTTTCGGATCATGAGCTCCATTTTGATCTCCTACACCTCCACTCGCCTCCGAAACCTCGACCGCACCATTATCACCACCACCATTACTCAACACCTCCGATTTTCGAGCTCGAATCGTCGACCTTTTCACTCTCTTATACACTAAATTCTCAGAAACTGGACTCGAACCACCAACAGAAAGCCGCTTACTCGAACGAGTAGTTCTCCCAATCACTGGAGACTGCATCTCCAATGCCGCTAACTCACGCTTCATTTCTCCAAATTCAAAACATCAATCCACAATAAATTTCTTCAGCTTTTCATCGATTCATACTATTTTATCGACATTTACAATAGTTACAACACAAATCGCAAATCCAAAAAATCAAAAACCCTATATTTCTCAATTTTTTTCCAAAATATATCGTAAAATCCAGATTTTTTTGTTTTTCAAAAAATTTAAACCATGATATAGGAAATGAAAGTGATGAAAAGTTTGAATATGGTTAACGAAGATCTGAAATCAGAGGAGAGAGATAGAAGAAGATCTTGAATATTTGGCGAAAAAATTATCTTTGAATTTTGAAGAAAAAAGCAACGAGGAAAGAGAAAATTTTCTGGAAGGAAGAAGAGGGCCAATGGCAGGTTTTTCAGAAATATTATTTTTTTTTTAGGGAAAATTTTACTTTTTTTTTAATTTTAAAAGAAAATAAATAAATAAAATGAAGAAGGAAGAACCGCTTTAAATATATCAATTTTTTTTTAGGAAAAATATTTCAGTGTATACTCGTATATAACTAGATTAACCCCGATTTTTTTAAATAAGAATTGAATCAGCGCATTTCTGGTGCGGCTGGCCGCTCTATCAAGCACCCTTTCCTATTACTCCATTATTTATAAAGCAAGGAAGCTTTTACGGGAGATTAGTTTTTAAGATTAGGTAGTTTTAGGGCCTGTTCTCATTGACTAAACTCAACTGAACTAAAATGAACTAAACTTATTAGAGATAAAATGAACTAAACCGAACTGAAATGAATATTTTATGAGAGAAGGAAAGTGAGACGATGGGGGATAAGCTTCATCGTCGAGAGGGAAACAGCCCGGATCACCAGCTGCTTAACTGAATTGAACTGAACTAAATTGAACTGAATTGAATATTTTATAAGAGAAGGAAATTAGGTGCTGAACTGAACTGAACTTATTAGAACTGAGCTGAACTGAACTGAATTGAAAATAATCGTATGAGAACAGGCTCTTAGTTTTAGTTTAGTTTTAAGTTTTGCTCATATACTTTTATTTTGTTTTAGTATTGGTGACTTTTAGTTATTAGTTTCATATTACTGTTTTTATTAGCTTTCTTTATTATTGTTTTCATGTTAGTTTTATAATTAATGTTTTTAATCATGCTTTCTTTAATTGTTTTAATTAGCGTAGATTTAATTATGTGCGAGTAGTTTAATTCTAGGGTTCTTAGAGGATCCATAATTAATATGAAGGGACGATTTATTATTATTGATTAATGATATTGCATGATAATTTCTTATTAATTGTTTTAATTCTTTACAATTGGATTATGAATCGAGGAGATGTGATTTGATTGTAAAAGTATAGCAATATTGAATTGATGAATCGAGCAGATGTTAATTTGATATTAAAGGCTATTTTCAATAAGAACTTAAATCTAGTAAATTTCGAGAGCCTATTAGATCTATGTTGATTAATAAATTGTGAGAGTTTGTTAATCATGTTTTGTTTGCAATATTAATTATTGATAGTTATGTGTTATCCCGGAGTATTAATTATTGGTGAACCTGTGACCCTAGGCTTTTATTATTGATTTCTCTCTATTTATTCTTCTTAGTTTAATTCCCTTAAAAATAATTTAGTTACTCAATAGTTTATATTATATTAATTAATTAGGAATAGAAAGACTTATTTCCCTGTGGATTCGACCCTAGCTACTTCCCTATCTACTTTAGTTAGAGGACTTAGGTAATAATTTTGATTAAGTGATACAACTTTAGCCTATCAATGTTCTTGTATTGTGCCCAAAACATCCACAATTTTGGCATTTGACTGTCCTTGACCTTTTTCCCGGTTCTATCTCTCCTTCTTCTCTCTTTCAATTCCTACTAGGCCTGTCAACCCCTCTCTTCATTTTTGGAGGCAATACAAGCCGAGGCGAGTCATCTTCTGGCAATTATTCTGTATTAGGAATGGGGTTGATATGAACACTGTAGGTCTGTCTATGAGTTTTCATTGAAAACCAGGAACTGACATAGTCATGGGGTCTAATTTTGCATCTATTAGTGCTCTTATTGCATGCCTGCAGGGTATCCCTGATAATTGCCTAGCCCCATAAGAACATATCTTGTTGTTAAGGCTCATAGGGAACTAAGACTTTCCTTTCATGGATCTCATATTCTCTTGGTTTTGACTTGAAAGCCTTAAATGATGAGCTTGCCCTGCCAATTTCCTTAACCATCTTTGCAAATTTAGGGCAGATATCATCTTCTTTTAATTTTATCCCATTTTCAAGCCTGGCTACAATCCTAACCATACACACCCTTCTTATCCCTACAATTTGCAAACATTAAATTAAAGTTATCTTTTCCTACTGAGCTAGTTAAAATGACAAAAAAAAAAAAAAGTATTTCATACCTTCAAGCAATGTTAAAACTGGTGTACACCTGTCAACTCCTAGAGTGGAGTTGAAGCTTTCCACAAAGTTAGAAGTGTTAGCATCATTACAAACATTTGGGTCAAACTTGTGCTTACTCCATTTGGATTGTTCTCCCAAATCTGCAAACCATTTCATCACATCTTCCCCATCTTCCTTCTTCAACCTTTCCATAGCCTTTCTAAAAGTGAATGCATTTGTGGCATTACAAGCCCTCCAAAACAGTATATTTATCAAACCGCCAAGAAACACTTTAATTCTTGTAATTCCTGCTTAGATGCCTACAACAATATCTCCTTTTTTCTTCTAGCCATAATTGCTCAAGTGCCAAATCAACAACCTATCACAATAGTAACAGAACATGACATATGTTACACTATCATACTATGTGCTTTTGAAATAATGCATTATTGAAAATGAATATTGAAAGTAAATGAAAGAGTACGTGATTACCTTTTGTCTATCAGAAATGATAGTCTAGTCTTTCCTTGAAGAGTCTTTAACAATATTCAATAAATGCCAAAAGAAGAAAGACCAACTCTCCTTATCTTCTACCCCCAACTATTGCGTAAGCTATGGGTATATCTCATGATTGGCATCCAACCCAATTGCGGAAAGTAAGATCCCTTCATAGTTACCTTTTAGGTGTGTTCCATCCACATCAATCGAAGGCCTACATCCTCTTAGAAAGCCTTTCCATTCTCTAGTGAAAGAAATGAAAATTACTACAAGAAATAAGTGATTTTGCGATAGCCAAAATTTGTCGCAAATATTACAAAAACCATCGCTAAATATAGTTACGATAGACAACTGTCGTAATAGGTTTGTCGTAGTCAGCTATGTCACAAAATTTCATTTCTACGACAATTTAACTGTCCTAAAAATTTATTACGACGATTTTATTAATTTCAATGATAATTTTATGTTTCGTCGCTGCAATTATT